TATATATATATATATGTGTGTGTGTGTGTGTGTGTGTGTGTGTGTATACAGCCTGATATGTAACGGTGGCATTTTCCAAGAACAGCGTGAAAAGAGATTTTTTCTGAAGCGAACCCCGTTGGAATTAATTTTTTAAGGGCAAATAGCTTGTTGTATAGTACAGGTACAACATGGCGATCCCATGAGAATGTGAACTCGTGGGATACTTGCAGTTATTTCTCCTAAAGACGAAGCCGTTGACTTATGTTTTTTGTCTTCATACTAATTCTTATTGTTCCTGCTTTGAGATCTCAAATCTAACTTTATAAGCTCTTCCTCGTTATCTTCGTTTTTTACTGTAATTATTTATTATTCATATCATCTACTGACTCCAGGGGAAAAATAGAGTAAATTTCAGAACTCTTACGTAGCATCAAATGGTTTCATTTTATGTTAAAATTTAATGAATGATATACATGCATGGGTAAAATTTAGGATGTGGTAAAAGTTTAAGGTGGAAAACAAAAAATAATTAAATTAGCCTCAGAAGGGAGCCTGGCTGATGAAGTACTTGCATTAGTCAACAATCACTAAACTTAGTACAACAGTGCTTCTGCATGTAGCGCATATCGAAGCGTTGTGAGCTGAGATGTTATCCAATCTCCATTTCAAACTCATTATGCTACAATCCAATAGATGAGTAGTTACGTAAACAAAAATCTTTAAGTTTAATAATGTGAACAGTGTACATAATAAAAGTCATAATTGATTCGCTATGATAATGTCATTAGAGAGGCAGTCTGAAATCATTTATCATTTCAACACGTACTCTAACGGAAAAGACCAAAACGTCGGTGGTAGCAACTAGGATTTTTTTTGCTTTATAAGAGTTACAATAAATGACCCATCCTAAGTCAGCATAGTACCATTGATTCTTATTACAAATAAAAGCGTAATCTTTAGATAGCCAGGTATAAGGTTGTTAATTATGACAATTAGTTAGTTTTAAGGCTATATTTATTTTCTCATCTAAAGATATAAGTTAATTTGAATTATGATTAACGGAAACATAACGAAACAGATGAAATACAAAAAAAAGGATTAAAAAATAAAGTACTACAAAAATAAACTTATAAAATCATGAATACTACTCGAAATGTTTACCATCATGTTCAAGGCAGCATTGGAGTCTGCGTACAAAATTATCCAATGCTCTGTCCACCATTTCTGGTGTGACGCTTGCAAACACAGCTCTTATGCAGTCTTCCAGATCTTCTGCTTTGTTGACTGGATGTCTGTAGACTGAATCTTTTATCATACCCCAGAGAAAGTAATCCTGAGGATTAAGGTCAGAAGAGCGGGGAGGCCAGGTAACAGAACATGGGAACATATGGTTATAAGGGTAATGATAGGATTAGTGGTTTGGAAAGGATGCAGTACTTCTGACCTACATAAGATTAGAAAAAAAAGGATAAAGAATAATTAAAAGTTAAACCTGATTTTGATATTTAGGAAGGGTAAATTAATGATGCTGGTCATGATGGAAATGGTTAGGAATCGATATGTGTTGTTGTTTTTGATATGTACAGTATTATTATCTCTCACCAAATACAAAACGATACAAAGTCAATATTATGTTTTAATTTTACTTTTTATGTTTGACGAATTTCTGACAAATACTTATTATTTTTCACGAATTCGTATCAAAGTACACTAATGGCAATGGCACGAGAGTGCCTATTCCATGGCACAAAAAAATTTAACTCGTAAGTTATACTGTTAGTTGTGAAAACCATAAGACAATAATTTAAAGCTTATGAATTTTGTGCCAGTGCCTTAATATGCCCTGTATTGTTAATACCATATACTTATTAACTGAGTATTTTTATAAGTTTACTGACGTCAGGACTGGAGAGACAAAATATAAGTAGCTGTTAGAGAAAAAAACGAGCTCTACCTAGTAGAGTTATCTCTAGGTAGCTAATAGTCATGCTATCTCTTTTTCAAGGTGTGATAAAGTAGGTTTTCACTGGAGATACTCCCACTGTGCTCATGCATAATAGGTATGATAACAGCTAGGTGATTGATAAATAGGTGTGGCGATACACCTCCACGCATAGATAGTGAGTGGTTGGCTCCAGTAACTAGGCCAGA